CAACTTCATTATATCCTCTGTCCACTTGGTAGCGGTTGGAGTAGTATACTCCTTTCCGTTTTCCACCGCGCCCAGTTCAAACTGGGTGTATTTGATGACAGCGTCGTGGAAACGACCGGGGGCCCTACGGGTTCCAGGTAGGGCTTTGGAGGGGTTCTTTCTAATAGCTGCAGCATCGGTCGGACACTCGCCGCTTTGTGGGTACTTTAGACACAAGCTTAAAAGGACTGCTGGAAGATCAAGTTACCTGATTATCCGGAGGTCGGGGATGGTTTCTAGTGCTCGGTCAAAAAGAGCAGTCCAGATGTGGCCCTGGTACCACTTTTCTCGGTTGTCAGTGAGTGAGATGTGGCCGCTCTTGTAGTCGTTTATCCTTCAGAAGCGTTAGGTATAGTAGTCGGAGGAGGCACGTAGGAAGTGAATACGGGGAACAAACACCCATTGTAAAACGAGATGTGCCCATTGTAAGCTCATGTACTTCTGGCGCTTTGCGGAGCCATCTAGGCCCTCATCGGCGACGGTATAGTAGGCCCCACGTTCCAGAATGTCGTATATTTCATCTACGGTTTTTTTCTACGAATTGATTATGCGAGAATAAGTGAATAGTATTGGAATTAAGTATATATTGGGAACTCACGTTCCGAAAGAGGTCTAGATAATCTTTCAAAACCGTATCAGGATCTGGGGACTGTGGGAGTTGCTCATTAATCTTGATCCATTCCTCGGGGGTGAATAATTTCTCAACATCAGGGTCGCCAGTATCAAGAACAAATGAATGCGCTGGTGTCTCGCTCTCATTATTATTATAGACGTATTCGGCAAGCCTGTCCTCTACAGCAACACTAGCATCATCTAAGTACCATTTGGACGCATTGTCAATGTCGGCAAGTCTCTGCTTGAAAAGCCAGAGACGTTTAAGCGTCAAGTTGTCACTGAAAAATGTCATGTAAGAGAAAGGGCAGTGTAAATTGAGAGAATGAGAAGTACCCCCGGTTGACTTTAGTCCGCTTTGCACGAGCAGACTCTTTACTTTCAGCTTCGCTGGTGTTTGCACGCCTAGAATTCTTTCCCTTCAAGTTTCCGCTCTTCCTCGCCTTTACCCCGCCCCTTACACTTCCAGCACTCTCGCCTAGAAGCGCTCTATTGCTGCTTTCGCCGGGTGCATTAACATTCACTGAGAACTTCTTGGAGTGGGTGATACTAATTGATGCAGGTTGGGCCTGACGGTTAAGGTTGGCGCGCCAGTCCCTAAATCGTTTCTTGTCTTCATGCTAAAGAAGGAAAAAAGGAGTTAGTCCCCAAGCGAGCGCAATCCAATAGGGGCAGTGCCGGGCTGGGACGAACCCTTAACACCATATAGACCACGAAGGCCATATGATGCCCCGGACACTGGCACAGGCAACACTCTCGGCAGCGGTCTTACGAAGGCTATTGACGCTATTCTTGAAGCCCTGCTAGGCTGGGACGAACCCTTAACAACATGTCGACCACGAAGGCCACATGATGCCCATAATGCAGGGAGAATAGCGAAGCCGACTGCCGTGATGTCAAGTGTGGCTTGTAAGGTACAAAGAGGATGCACTCGCCTCGTAGATTCCCAGTAGGTGCTGAGCTTTCTCTTTCCTGTCGTTAGAAGACTCATCTGCAGCGGCGACTCGTAGCAAAGCTTCCTTCCACGAATGTCTCCGTTGATCCAGCCGAACAATGTCAGTGTCTACCTCTGGGTTGAAGCTCTTCAAGAAATCGATCATGTCCCAGGACTCGGGCGTTCTGGTTTTCAAGTAACGGTCGGCAGGGAATCCATCCGACGAAGCTCCTGTGCGCGTCATGATATTGCGGTGGAAGATTAAATACAAGCAGTGTGCATAGTAGCTCTCTGAGACTTCTTGGTTAGTTTGAGGGGACTGCACGGGGGGGAAGGACTGTCGCGGGGGTGGCGGGGTCGCGAGGGTCGCGAGGGGATGGCTGTCGCGGGGAGACTGTAGCGGAGGGGAGAGCTGTAGCGGGAGGGGGCTGTAGCGGGGCAGGGAGAAATGACGGATGTTCGTGGTGTTGGTGGGGGTGCTGTAGCGGGGGCAGGGAGAAAAGATGGATGTTTGTGGTGTTTGTGGTGTTGGTGGAAGAAGTTGAGGCGATTGGCGTTTGTAATATAGTCTTGGCATCTTGGCACAAAGGCTTAACAAGATTCTGTCTTGGCGTCTTGGCGTCTTTGCGCTACCAGCTGGGCACGTGACTAGTAACATTAAACACCTATGCATGCGACTCCCACCAACCGGACTTGGAGAGTGCAGTGTATGTATATTAGCACTGCCATGCTACATACATGTACCTTGGGTGCCGGAAAGTGATGCAGCGACTCAATTTACCACTCATGATTTCAATCAACCACATATGACTCGATTTGACCATAATGAAACAACAAGATATGGTATACAAAGTAAAGAGAGTATAGAAATTCATCGATCGCATTTGGGTGAAAGAAATTAAGGTGGTTGCGAATTCACTAATTATAAGACCTCACCCAATCCCAAGCCGTTGCATCATCACCTTTCAGGACCCCCGGGTACATAAATTCTGTCGGTCCTCGACGGTACTGAGAGGATCACTAAGGTGTATGTCATAGACCATAGCCCTTGAGAAGCCGGAAGTGCTTTCTTCCCTGAGGCCAGACCGCCCGCTAAATTGTATTTAGTCATCCACACCAGGCATACCAGCTCTGCAGACTGTGGCCCCAAAGCGAAGCGTGCGAGGCTTGGTTTTAGGCATTTGTGTTCTACAGGCGCTGCATTTCTTGCTTCTGTAGCTAGATAAGCCTGGAAAACGGCCGGTCTGATCGATCAGTGAATGCGAATTCCTTAGCGTAGAGAGTGTAACACTAGTTATTTGTGTACCATGCAAAAGAAACCAACAGAGGTGCATACAGAGGTGTATGGACTACGCTTCGGTATGGAACAAGCCTGGGCACTCCTGACTTCAGAAACTACGGGTAGGAGACCACATGTGCCTTGTTTGATGTCCCTGTTTATATCTCCTCGTACCCGACGAGCAATAGAGACACTTAGCTAAATGTCGGAGAGGTAGTGAAAATTGTGTAGGAATGCCGGAGTATCTCCGAGACCGTTTTATAAAGAAATCAGCCAAAGCCACACATTTAGCTCTGTCCAAGAGGGGCCACACATTAACTCGGATTATCATATGCTCCACCGTGCAGCTCCGGTACGTCCCTATACTGTTATACACCGTAGATATGGGAAACCAGCGCCATGATATCATTAAGCACTGTATAATTATATCTACCCGCTGGTAGTATCAAAGGTGGCCATATATGCATTGTTTCAACCAACTAAAGTCTCGGTCATAATTAATGAATTAGACAATTATAAACAAAAGTCTCGATCATAGATTGTCACTCGACATTGTCACTTAAGAGAAATACGCATAATCGTTACTATGCCCAATAAGAGTCAGATCGGCCTAAATTCATTATATTCATCTCTATGAAAAGGAGTACTGCACAATTTACGGTATGAATAATTAATCCGTGTGTTTCTCCGCCAGCGAAGCGAATACAGGAACATATGATTTGTATGAAGAAGAGGAGGATCGGACTTATGAAAGCACGTCTGGGCGATTGGATTTTCAAAATTAGCAGACTAAACCAACAATAGATGTACACTCTTTAGTGTTCCAGAGGCGTAAAAAACAACTCTGCAGTGGCTTTCATGTTTGTGGGGCGAGGGTTAATCTTTGGGCTATTTTGGTTATCAAGAATCGTTTTGTACCACGCTGAAACTATTATGATAGGCATGCATCAGTGCTCTGGGTTGTCTCCGGGTTTTTAAACTTGTCTAAATTTATTAATTGCGATGATACCGCTTTCGATAAAACAGACGCCCATGGCGAGTGATCCGGTGAAAGTCCCACCAACGTCGCTAAATCCATTTTCTTCTCGCTACCAACTAGTTAGCTAAATCGAAGTAGGTTTCTCAGTGAAGAGAAAAGTTACAACTTCTAGAATAGGTTTCCAATGAGCAGATCCCAAAATATTGTGTGCAAATTTGGGGGAGAGCGTGGGAATGTGTATATTGTCTAAACCATTCGCTCGGTTCTTAAGGGGGGGGGGGGGCAGGGCTGTTCACTCAGTTCACCTCATAAACCTGCTTAGATCAGGTTTGCTCTACATGTGCTCGATATAAAGTATGTACGTATTGTTCTCCTTATAAATCTAATTGTACGGTCATACACGTACTTTACCGCCGAAATAGGTAAAAAAATAAAAAGTATTACCTAGCTAGACCTTGCCCAATCTAGGTTTTACAGGGACCTCTTTGATATGTCGGTCCTTTTAGCAATTGATTTTCGAGGGTTTATAGGCGAACAAGCCCCTTAAACTTCTGCGTTGATTACTTGTAATGATTTGGTTAAGGAATTGGTTTAGTAATGTTTATGTGCGGCTTATAAAGGTTCGTTCCGGGACTAAAGCAGCGGGTGGCCCCGACCCCGGCGGTCTCTACGGGCTCGGGGACCACTCCGCAAACAATTAGTAACAGCACTAGGGATTACAGAGAATAGAATTGATTAGCGAGGAAGTAGTGAACGGCCTGAAATCCAGATACCAGTGTTCTGGTATTTGGTGGAACGGGAAGTGAGGTGATTTGAGTATCTTGGTAGATAATTTCATTATAATTGTCAAATCTCTCAGTCTAAACACCAATGGGCGCATGGTTTAGGGGTATAATATCTCATTCGCATCTACGTGACTTGAGATGGTCCTGGGTTCGATTCCCAGTACGTCCATCGTAGGTTGTTCGGTCTCCTACACCTCTCGAGGTGTAGGTGCTAACACCAGCTTTTGCTGCCGGGCCAACATGGGGGCAGCTGGACTTTTGTTCCCAGTTCGCATTGTGTGTGCTTTGGGTGTGTGGAATTGAAGATATAAAAGGGCGATTTGGCTTTTTATAGCTTTCGTTCTCGGCGGAGAGTAATAGAAAAAACTAAAATGGAGACGCGGGGAATCGAACCCCGGACCACCTCTACTCAAGATACTACTCAGACGAGAGCACTGAATGCTAAAGAGGTATTATACCACTAAACCACATCCCCATTGGATACACTAGTTGCGGACGCAAATTTTTCGCCATGTTTCCTTGGCGGCGCTTCCGGATTTACATACTAGTAATCATTGACCAGGGTGGTACTACCATGGCAGCCTCGGCTTGAACAGAGAGGATTATAAGATTGGAAAAAGGGCGGGTAGTTGGGAGTGGTTGTCATGTTAGTGGGCGTACAAAGGGGGGGGGGGGGGTGATTCAAATTTTGGTGGGGTGGGCACGTGGCGCCGGGGTGGGTGCATAGAATATCACTCGGCGATGGATTTATTGCGGTGTGGAGAAAAGCGAGGTATGGCTATCATTTGTGAGCTGGGGTGTAGTTGGCCTAGGTTTATTGGTTTCTAAGTGTGTCCAGGTGATGTGATGTAATTATTCTGCCCTCAGATATTGGACTGTGATGGCTACTTGAACTACGTACGTCCTGAGCATGTTCTGAGATATATAGCTCTTTAACGAATCCTTTTCTCTGGTACGATTCAACGCCTATTTTGTGGTCAGCTGGTTAGGTTTATATGAGAACTGTACTTATTGGTATATTAGTATGTACTCTTCGTTTATGTCATCAGACTGAGATGTGAAACCGGTCCAATTCGACAGCCGGCTGTGATTTCCCACTGTCAATCTTCATTCTTAGAATTACGCTGCAGACTGTTGTCTTTAATTACGACATTAGATTTTCCAGGAAGATTTAAGCAATAGAAAGATCAGTGTTCGTTGTGTCAATGTTTAGTACATGTAGCAAAATGTTATTCCAAGTCTGAAAAGAACACTGCCTTTTCAGTCATTGAACCCAGGCCCAACTGATCGTAGTAAGATTTTAGCATATATGAGCAAGCTTGTACTAATCTTTTTATTACTGGGAAGATGAACTACACTTTGTTCCATAAGTGGCTTAGAAGAAGCGCCGTTACCTACATATGCAGAAAACAGAGGTGGTAAGAAATGTGTGGCGAAAAATTAATTTGCACATATGTATGCAACTAAGCTAAGATGTAGCCTCTTGTTGAGTTAGCATTGAAATAGACCCGAAAGAACTAGTGTTAGAATGGGCATGAAATTCGGCTGGATGAAAGGCTAGTTCGAATAGAAAACAGCCGAGCCCAAGAAAATAAAAATTGAAGTCGATCCCCGCATAAACGTAGCAAAACCGGCGATCTAGTATACCACATTGTTAATTGGAGTGACTCTATTCTGCGAGAGTATGTGTGTTTTAATCATTATAGGGAGAGAAGAAAAGGAAGATATTTTTGTTACCTAAATTTAGCTGGGTAGGTGGAAATTTTGGTGGTTCAAATCTCTCCACGATGCCCTCTCATACTTGTCGCCTTTTATGCACCACGCCCTCCCAGGTTTATCAGCGTAGATCTTCATAAGCGCCGTTGCACAGTTCATCTCATACAGATCTCCTTCAATCTGCTCCCCCAAGATGAAACATTCCTTGGTCCCCGCTGCCACGGCTAGCACTGCTTCCATCCCCGCATGAAACAGATGTTCATAGAACACTTGACCAGTTTCCAGGCCCAGATCCCCCGCCTCCTCACATTTTGCGCACATCCTCAACATCTTGTTGCCATCCTTGTCCTTTCTCCTCAAATTGACGATTATCGTTTTCAGGTGCGGCCCTTCAAAGATGTCCCCACACATCAAGTCCATCCTTACTTTCAAGACTCGAAGAGCAGCCATGTGCCTGAACATGCCGCAGATATGGCGCCCCCGCTTCGGCTGGGTACCGGTTCTTGGGCCCTCATACCCGGTCATTAGAGATGACCCTATCGTATCCAACTTCAATGTCGTCACGGTATTGGGCAGGTTCAGCATCAGCACATAGATCGACTCGACCCATAAATAGTCCAGCGGGAAACGGTCTTCATCATCATCGATTCCACCAGCGCCGTACAAATTCTCCCACGGTGCAGAGCAGTAACATGCCACGAAGCCAAAGCTCCTCAGCTTCCTCATCCTCCCCACTGTCGAGGAAAACTCATCTAGTCGCGCTTTGATCGGCGTGGTGTAGTCGATCACACCGTAAAGCTTGAGCTTCAATGATATGGTGTGGTCCTGGATGAAATCGGAAATGTCGACGTTGTCAGGCGGGAAGCGGGGGAGGCTCTTTGACGTTAGGCGAAAGTGTTGCAGCCAGGCCGCGTGGGCGTAGGTGTACCAAGATTTGGAGACGTAGAGAATAGATGGGTGGTCGGAGAAGCAGGGATGGGGTATGAAGTCGAAGATGAGAACAATTATCTCTGAGGGAAGAGAGAGAAGGCTGAGAGGCGATATTGCCATTGCGGTAGGGATCGTGATTCCTTGGGATGAGAGGATGGGGGATTGGGGGGGGGATGGGGAGATGGGGAGATGGGGGGATGAGGATGAGGGGTAACTTGAGACGTGAGTTCTCTAGAGTACCTACATGTACCTACATTGTACCTACATGTAGGTACAGTACATACAGACATACACGAGATGTTCTCGTGGTGCTCAGCCGCAAGTGTGACCAGCCAACCAATGAAAGTCTTGCACACTACACTCCAAGATTCCATTGATCAGACAAATCGTCAACTGAGCTGGCATCTATTAACCTTGAAGCCCTGGGAGCAGCAGGGGCTTTCTGGTTAGCAAGTTTCTTTCAGGCACACACACACACACCCGCAGCTAGTTGGGCAATTGCAAAGAATGCGTCAGGGACCGTAAAGGGGACGTTCATGTCACCAATAATCACTCGCAATCCTCCACAAGATCAACCACATCATCTGCCAAAGTCTGAATCAAGTTTCCCATGTCATGTTTTTCTCTAGATTGCTACATTACATAAAGAAAGAGAAAGGAGGAAAAAAGGAGGAAAGAAAACCCATCGTTACACCACACAAACACAGAACAGGAGGCATAAACATCACGGAACAATTGCAAAACGGCACCAGAAAAAAGGAACAAGAGGCTCATATCAGTGGAGAATCAGGCAACTGAAAGGAGGAAGAAGAAGAAGAAAGAAAGAGGAAAAAAAGGGTATTAAGAAAATACCGCGCTCACCTCATCCGCCCCCAAGCGCGTCAGGGCGTCAAGAATGAGGGTGCCTATTACTTACTATCATACACCTAGACGTTTATACCCTGTAATGGGCCTGTCTACCTGCCATTTTGCCCCCATCCTTTACCCCTCATCCACACTTCTACACCCTCCCAGATCTTCTCGCACACCTCTCGGTCCCTAAATCGCCTTGCCCTCTCCACATTGTAGCAACGCACGCCAGCACCCCATCCCTTCACCACATCTGGTGTCTTCTCGCCCTCCCACCCAACGTAGTAGCCTCGAACCTCACGGAATAGGTCCACGGGATTGCTCCACTTGTAACCACGGAATTGCCAGCTCTGTCCGGTGGTGAATACCGCTACTACCCGATCCCAGTAGTCGGGCTTGAACTTCTCCGGGGAGTCGACAATAATGAAACGGAACGGAGTCGTGGGGTGGATGCTTGGAAGGAGGCGCGAGACGTGGTGAATCTGGGGATGTGGCCCAGAGGCGGTCGTGGACGGCGAGAAGACGCCCGACTCGAGGAAGGGCTTGATGTTGGCCATGGTGAGGAGAGAGGAGGCCGAGGGGGAGAGCAAGATGATGGGGTCGATGCGAGAGCGGGACTTTGGCGGCTTGGGGGCTAAGGAGGCGGGGATGGCAGTTGGCGGACCACGGTGGGGCAGGGACTTTGTCGCGGGGACCGAGGCAGTTGGTGGCTTGGTCGTGCGCAGGCGCGTGATAAAGTCTTCTGCCTGTTTGCGGACATGGGAAAAGTCCTGTGTAGCTATTAGCATAGTAAGAAACAGAGACAGGCGCAGGTGCAATTGGACTCACGGTTGGCTTGATCCCCCTGAGGAGCGTATTCCGGTTCGTGACGACTCTTTCATAGCTGTAGATCTCCAGGAGCCTTGGGTCCGTCGCTCTTACCTTGCCGGCCAGCGCTGCACTACCCCCGCTCGTATAACCCTGCGCCCTTCCCTGGACCACCTGCCCACCGATGCTCTGCGCTGTGTTCGCCGCCGCGACTGCCGCCGGGGGTGCAGGAAGCGCCCTGATGAACTCGCTGTCCTCCTGGCCGCCCTCGAGCCATGTGACAAGCTCGAGACGCTCCAGGAAGGCAAGATTGGTCACAACACCATCACCAAGGGCCTGCGCTTTCGAGATGTAGTCGGGGATGGTGTCCTCGCGGTGCTGCCACGCGAAGTAGATGCTACGGAGGTCGACGGGAGTGCTGTCAGACTTGTGGAAGCGGGTGGGAGTGGGCAGGGGGAAGGCGCGCGTAGTGGGGTGCGCAAAGATGAGGTAAGTGGCGCTGGAGAGGCTGATGGGGGTTGTGGAGGAGGGGTCGGCAGGCTGGGGGGTGTGCGAGAGCGTGGGGGGTGTGCTGGTGCTGATGGAGAGGCGGAGGAGCGAGAGGGGGTCGGTGAGTGAGGGATCGGCCATTGGTGAATATCGAGAAGTGATACGCCGTGAAGGGGGGGGTGGGGGTGGGCTTTGAGGTAGAATGGCTTAGGGAGGGAGGCAGACAGGAGCGGTGTCTAACGCGGCGGGTCGTTTGTCGTCGTGATGATGGATGGTTGTGGGAGTTGTGGGAGTTGAGAGAGTCGCGATGGGGAACGAGCGAGGAGAGCTCGAAATAACGGCTTGGCGGCCACACACAGCCTTGGCGCGTCTTCAATTATCACTCGGCGGATATATGTAGAATAGATATCAAGGAACTGCCGATCTCGATCTGCATACATGTACCGACATATCAGGACCCGATATTGGTATATGTAAGGCGGGCAAGTAATGCACATGCATCGAGCCAGCTTCTATACACAGATACATGATCGCGAGTATGCAAGACAGCATTGATAACAATTGGGTCTAGAGCATATTGCGGATGCGCGCAAAGAACTGACAAAGTATATGTAAATCAAGATTAATTGCAGCGGCCAGTCATATATATATGGCCGGAATCAATGTCTATACGTACCTACATGC